GTTTGAGGTCAGCCTGGTCTATAGGGTGAGCTCCAGAACAGCTAGGGCTACACAGAGAAACCCTGTCTCAAACCTCTCCTCTCAAAAAGATTCATTTATTTTATGTGAGTACACTGTGACATCTTCAGAAACACTGGAAGAGGGCATCTGATCCCATTACAGATGGTTGTGAACCACCATGTGGTTGCTGGGAATTGAACTCAGGACCTCTGGAAGAGCTGAACTCTGAAAGAGCAGTCAGTGCTCTCAGCTGCTGAGCCATCTATCTCTCCAGCCCTTGTCTCCTTTTTTTAAAAGGCAGTTTCTTACTATGTAGACCAGACTGACCTCAAGATATAACAGGACAGCAATGGTTTAGGTACCTTAAGTTCTGCATTACTCTCTGCATTTTTAAGCATGTGCAGCAAAAACTCTGCACTCTTCTTTGGCCACCGTCCCTGTGTCCAGCCCCATTGTTTGGCCTGAAAGAAAAAAGGTAAGGGGTTTGTTACTTTCCTTGATGTATCATCATGGGACCCAGTTAAGAACTAAGGCCTAGGCCAGGTTGCTCAGAACATGTTTTATTTCACGGTTAATCCAAAGGTGTCCTAAGATAGTCATCACAGCAACCAGACTGTAAACACTTTAGCCTACACTTTCCCACATTCTTATAATTTGCCACAGCATCTTCAAAGATTTCTCACCTGGGCGCACCTACCAACTCCACCATTATACCGAAGGAATGGCACACATTGTTTTTTTAAAGTGACATCCTTCAGGTACTTGGTAGCTTTGCGGATGTGCATGCCCTTGATGGCCTGGGCAGTTTCCCGGGTGTTCTAATAATTAGAAGCCAGAAAGGTTTGGTTAACAGTGTTAAATTTTGAGAGATCAATAAGTTCACCATTAAGCTCCACCATCTTGTAATTATATACAACCGTGTTCCACAACAGTGCCAAGTTTTGCTCAAGCACCCCCACCCGATGACCAACAAGGCAGCTGCTCAGAATTTACTTATTTTCACGGTAAATCCAAAGGTGTCCTAAGAAAGTCATCACTGCAGCTACCTTCCAAAGACATTCAGGAGCAAATTACGATTCTTTAACATGACTTCCTTACCTTAAAGTGAACGCGAAGATTTGAACCTCGTGATTTACAAGCTGCAAGCAAGAGGGAGGGGAAAAAGTTCATTTTTACTGAATGATGAACACACCAAACAAACACTCTAATCCTCAAATCAAAACAGAAGCATGCCCTTTTCAGTCGCTTACATTTTGTGGGATTTTCCGGGTCAAGAGAGTAGCGAACCATCTTGACGAGTCACCTGTGAACACAACAGCTAGTCACTAACACAATCAGCAAGAGACCAAGGAGGTTTAAACTACCAACAGCTGCTCAGAGCATAGTTATTTTCATGATTAATCCAAAGGTGTCCTAAGAAAGGACATCATCGCAGCCATCTTTTTTCCGGGCGGGGGTGGGACCAGGTCGCCCTGGCTTTCCTAGAACTTCAAGATC